GGGCCGAGGATAATTGATATTATAATCGGGATAAGAAATCAGTAGTTACTGGCACCCAGGCCTGTGCTAAAATCACCTTTTTGCATGTGTAGCAATTGTCAGATCCTGTTTTCTCCTAGTATTTGTTTCAAAGTTCCTGATTGCAAAATCTTATGATCCCAACTTTAAGAGCCTGAAATAAAAATATAATAACATATAGTAATGTATTTATGGCCATATTTTCCATCCACCTGCAGGGTGCTTAGTCCTTTTGAACACTTTGTTTAGGTACCAAAATGGGAGCAAAGCTTTTTTGAAAATCTGCCCCCAGCTGTCGGGAGCTTAGCACTTTTGAAAATCTGGCCCATATACTTTTCAAGGGGAATGTCCAATATGACTGATTTTAAAAATATCATTAGGACAGTGAAGGAAGAGATAATAAAGGAGCTAATGAAAAGCTAAGTATCAAAGTATATAAAATGTCCAGATTTTTCCTTAGAAAACTAGAATTTTGCAGGAGAAAATCACTGCAGATCATCCTTTAGGAAACAGTTTACTTTTATTTCATTTTTATTTTTTCATCAGATTTTTCTTTCAAGGTGTTTTTATTTAATAGGCTCAGTGCTTATTCTGAGCAAGTGGATTTTAGCCAGAATAAAGCAAGTAGATTGTACACATTTTGTTTTGAAATTCTGCATTTACCCAAAACACATTGTATTATTCTAAGAACAAACTTGGAAAAAAAATAAATTGATTTCTCTGGCACATAGGCCTGGTACAAAACAGCAGTAAAACCAGTTAATTTTCTGAAATGTATTTTCCTTCCCTGCTACTGTTAGCCATAAAGACAGTCACTTGGATCTTTTTTTAAAGGCATCAAGCTTCCTCATGTTTCAGCTTTTCATTGCACTGCCTGATCATTTAGGGAACAGGCTTGTTCCAGACAGCTTTAATTAAACTGTGCTGTGAAACCAGATATAGATCAATGGAAATGATCCATAACAAGAGGCTAATCATGTATTTAACAGTGTTCAGTCCAGTTCAATCACCTTCTACCATTTCTGTGGCTTTACATTCATGTGGCGAAGACTGAATGTGTGTATGTATTTTTTTTTAATCCATCCCATTAGTGGCCATATGCTTTGGCTTCAAGGGAGACAAGAACTGTCTGCAATCTGCCAGGGATTTAGGGACATCAATAATTTTTGAATAGTCATGTTGGTACTGGTCGAAGGGTTAAGTGCCCTGCGCACCAGGGGTACATCTTGTGGGACTGGAACTCATAGTCAACTGTTAGGAACCTGATCCCCTCTGAGGCTTCTCTTCGAAGTACATGCTTCAAGTCAAATCCATACAGCTGAAGCAATGGAGCTTTATTAGCTCAGGGATTTAAAGACCTGAACTAAGTGATGTAACAATATCTTTTTGATTACAAAGTGAAGGAAAAGTGTAGTTGTAACATCAAATAGATTGTTATGTTCTGGGTGAAACACATGCTCTTTCTGCTACCATTTTCCATTTCAACGCAGGCTAGTTCTCTCCCATAATGAGCTGGTGGAGAGTGCTTACCACTACAAGTATCAGGATAATGGCCCTGGTTTTGCAAGCATTGCCCATGTGAGCAGTCTCATTGACTTCAGCTCATACAAGTAAGAACTGCAGAAGAGGATCTGAGGGTCTTACTAAAGTCAACTGTAGCGCAGGTGTAAAGACTATTTTTGTAAAGGTTAGACTGATTCCATAAAAGGATGCTGTTGCATTCATGGAGCAGTTTAGCATGAAGACCACCTTTAAAAGCAATAACTTATAATGTTGGAAAGTGCCATGGTAAAATGTGAAGGGTATTAGGTCAGTATGAAAAGTCACTGCACTATTGATCTGAATTATCTCCTGTTGTTACAGAAAGGACAATAAGAACAAATAGCACTGGTTGATTTCTTTGTTGGTTTGAGGCAATTTTATTTCAATTTCCAGTTGTGTCCACCTTCCTTTGTGTTTTCATGTGTCCCTCAGTTGTTCCTGATTTAAGTAGAAAAATTTCTGGTGACAGTCTGGGGCCCATGCCTCAATTCTTGTTGAGCACAGTGGGTGTGGAGAGCACCCATAGAGTTACGCTCTCATCTGCATTGGGGTAACACCAAGTAGAAATGGGAAGAGTTACATGTGACTGAAAATGAAAATACAGTATTTATCACTTTAATAACTGCTTGTTTACTGCCGTTTGAAATAAATCACTAAATTTTCTATCAGACTTGAAAAATCTGGTGCAGGGCACATTAAAGAGACAGTTTGGACTAGCATAGATCATCAATGAAGTATATTTATTCCTCATAGCCCCCTCCTCCAACCCCACCCAAATACACATGCCCAATCCCTCCATATACACACACCACCACCATCGGCAGCCATTCCCCATGTTTTTATTTACAGGAACGACATGCAAGTGAACAATTGGTTCAATATTCAGCATTGATAAAAAGCTACTTGAAATCTTAGCCATTTAAGCAAAGAATTACTTAATATAAAAAATAATAAATAATGCTGACCTTGAGTTATTTATCTTAAAGCATCGCTTGCTGAAAACCTTAAGGATTTGTTTTTATTAGTGCTGCATCATTAAAATGGTGTAACTAGTAGAGAAAAGGACTTAGAGGATCAACTATTGTTTTATTTATAACAGATAAAAGATATAGTCTTTGTATTCTTGAATGAATTAGCTATGTCCATTTGAACTGATGCAATTTCACTAATAGTGCAGTGCCCCTCTCCCCCCATACTTTGGCTTACAGTTTGATTTTTATTTTTAGAGGTCCATCCTCCCATACTGCCAGTGAAATTTGCACTTGCAGATTTTTACCCCCACATTTTTAGACTGACAAAATGAGCTGCAGATCCAAAACAGAATACTTGCCCATTAAATACCTGATTTTCACCTGTAATAGGACAGTGGGAGGTCCAAGTACCCAGATTTTCACCCATAATTCAACTGAAGGTGAAAAACGTGGGTGCAGATTTTGCAACTGCAATTTGCACAAACAAGAAGGAAAGTCATCTTTTGAAAAAGTGGCCCTTTCTGACTCAAAACTCACCAGAGAGTTTTCCAGAGTAAATATTTTGGGTCGCCTCCAAGTACCAAAATTGTTGAGTTCGCTATCAGAACTACCTCCTTGCCAAATATCCTCTTTGAAAACGATACCCATGTTTTTTGTGGTGGTAGCACTGGGCTACAAACCTGTGAAAAGTTAAAGTGGCAGAAGGGATGATTTCTGACTGTCTAAAAACTAAAAATAAAATAAAAATAGCCTATTTTAAAATGTAATTTATTTTTTTCATTGAGCTGACAACTTTCTGCATACTTTGACCCAATGCCTTTTGAGCCAGCATAGCTATGAAGTTTGGAAAATCAAGTTCCAAAAATCAGAGTTTGGAATAGAAATGCCATCTGACCCTTAATCAGTGTGTCACTACTGAATCGCAGTGATACATAGATTGAGTTGCTTATTACACAGAACATGAAGTCCTTTGACCCTCCGGTGAATATTGATCTTAGGTTCACCTCTGTCAACGTTCATCTCTAATGTCAACAATTTTCAATGCAAAATAACACAGCAGCATTTTAGTAGTCTTAGTCTGTCCCTCTGGTTGCAACATCTATATAGTAACATCCCTGTTACAAGATATTCAGATGTATTCCTTCTGTTGCTGTTCAGTAGAAACAGTAGGTGAAATCCTGACTCCACCGAAATCAGTGGCAACACTTGTATTGATTTCAGTTGGGCCAGAATTTCACCAAGTACATGTTAACACTTTGATTGAACTATATATTCACAGCCTCACATTCAGTGGGAAAAACCATAAACCTTTTAAGTTCTGCCCTCTTTACACTGTTTATCTAGTCAAGAATTTTTAGTGTTGTGAAGTGTCGGTAGAATCACAGACGTTAAAGACAGAAAAGACCTATTAAAACCTAAACCCTGCAGCCCAGATTCAGTTCCTTCAATATAATTTTTAGCACTTTTCCAATCAAGTTTTAAAAGTGCTATGTGACGGGGCTTCTGCCACTTCGTTAGCGAAGCTATATGTGATGTTCTTGATATTCAGCCTAAATTTGCCATTCCTTAATTCCATTCCATTAGCCTTCTAATGAGACACTCTCTTTATGCATCACATGAATTCCACTCCCTCCACAATGTTTGTACCCTTTAAACTTTTGTAGACTGTTGGCACATCCCTTCTTAGTCTTCAGATTCTGTGTTTAGTTGTTTTAATCTTTTCATAAATCATTAACTCCGGACTCCTAATCATATTTGTTGCTCTTCTCTGGACTTTTAGAGGCTTTACCCCCATTACATTTTATAGGACAGTTCCATAAGGAGATGCAAAATATCTAATGTAATTTGTTACATTTCTATGATTTGATAGCAGTAAGAGTATACAGTATTTCTGTTGATTTTAAATGTGACTTGCAAACACTTTAAAAAAAATCAGTGGGGCACGTTTCTTCCAGGATACATCAGTGCAACATTTATCACAGTGGGGTTCTACAAGTGCAGCAAGGAACAGAATTTGACCTGGTAGCTGTAGAGAGCTATGTGCTGAATATTCAAATATGAAGAGTAAAAGAGACATTCAGAACATACAGTAACTGAATTTAAACTTACTCCCATATTACCATCCCAAGTCACAAATTAGGTAAGGGTAAATTGAAACTTGGTAAATTGCTGAGTACCTCTGTTACCTTTGCTATTTGGGATATTGACAAAGCTTTGGCTGGGATGATTTAGTTGGGGATTGGTCCTGCTTTGAGCAGGGGGTTGGACTAGATGACCTCCTGAGGTCCCTTCCAACCTGATAGTCTATGATTCTATGATATTAAAAATCCTACAAATTAGTGATTTTTTTAAATGTATATGTAAGTCATTTTTAAGACAACACACCTCTTACAGTATAAAATGCATTTGTTTAATGACTATAACACAAAAACCAGAAGGTATTCATCATTCATTTTGTTCCTGTTTTAGGACTGCAAGATTACCTAGAAGATCAGTTGAGGGAGAAGACTCCAGCTCTGATTCTGGTACCTGTAGTGGATTTACCTGAAAAGGAAGTTATTCATGTAGCATGCTGGCTGAGCTAATCATTTATAAGTGATCAGTTGATATCAAAGCATGTATTCCACCCAGAAGAGAGTGAAGAGAAGAGTTGATCGTGATTATGTTGAATATTTTCATTAAACATCAAGGTGTACATTGCTTGATTTGGGCCAAGCCTGTCTTAAAATGTTAATATTTCTATGGACAGTGCCTGACGATAAATGACACATTCCGCCTTTGAAGGAAAAATAAAGATTTTGGTTCAAAATACTGTCCTGTTTTTTCTCAGATCTAAAGTGTTTTCTTGCATCTAATAACACAAGCAGCTCACAGGAGATGGTAATAACTCTGGAATCCTAAGGCTTGGGCACACTAGACCAGTTGTCATCTTCAGCCGTTGTTTGGAGGATCAGTACATGAGCTCCTGCATCATGCGGGAGGTCAGACCAGATGATCATAATGGTCCCTTCTGACCTTAAAGTCTATGAGTCTATACAATCTTGGAGATTTCTTACATTAATTTTGCACTGGATACACTGACTTCAGACCAGCTCCTGAATTTCTTACTCCTGGCCAGATTGTGATCCCCCTTTCCAATGCTGGTGAACAGTTATTCACCTGAGTAGTCATAACACACATTTAATCAATCTGAATAACAGGGGTCACAGTCTCCGTTTTTTCACAGTTATTCAAATTCTCATTGTCAAAGAACACAGCATTTGCCACCTGTTTTCCAGAAACAGTACAGAGTATTTTTATACTTTCTATCCATTGTAGAGCTCTCATTACAGAACTACTGGTATTCCCTAAGGACCCGAACTAGCTCCCTGTAAAGTCAGTGGGAATTTTGCCTTTGGTGAAGTGGGATCAAACTCTAAAGGTGAAATCCCAGCCTCGTTGAAGTCAGTGACAAAACTCCCATTGAATTCAAAGGGGCTAGAATTTCATCCTCAATGAGTTTAAGGGTCAGTATAGTACAGATAGCCTTCTTGATTTAGCTGGAGTCTCCAAGGCACTATAGAGAAAGCCCATCCTCAGGCAAACCCTGTAAAACTAAACCTTGGGGAAAGAGTGATGTTCTTATCTCCATGTTACACATTCATGAATTCCCTCCCTAATGTTACACTTGGAAGATTATTTTTTTAAGAAAATACAATCTGATTCACAATCAGGCATGTAATCATTCCTGGAGGAACTACACATACAAGGGCTCCAGTTGGCTCTCAGTTCCACCAGTGTCAGTCTGAAATAACTCCACCGAAGTCAATTGAATTTACACTGCTGTGACTGAGAAGAGATTTTGGCCTTATGGCTTCATTTTCTTCCCATTTCCAGTTATGTATTTGGCAGCTGATACAGAGCTAGTGACTAAAAATAAGAGGATCTTCCTCGGTATCCTCTTGCCTTGTATATCTGATATACTGTGCTAATTGTGATTTGGGAGTCAGACTTGTCGTTATTCCTTATCACCACACAAGAAAATACAGTACAGTAGCCACAGTGTTAAGTGAGGGTTGTTTTCATCACAGCTATTCTCTCTAATAATTAAAAACTCATCCTGAAGCTTTTTCTACTAATTGGGGTAATTTTTTGTTTAAATTCATAATGTGTAAAATGTTTGTTGGTCAATTATTAGTTTGTTTTCATTCAAACACTTTTGAAAGAAGGGGGAAGACACCGAGGTAGTTACATACCATTATACAATACAGATGCTTAGACAGATTTAACTTAAGATTCTTATTCCTGATTCATTACCTGAGAAAATGGGAAAGAGTCTGGTATCAGGGAGGTGCTATTATCAACACATTCATTTAGGAATAGTCAGTGTCATTTTTTGATTAGCCTAAGACCTGTTATAATAATGTTGATGGAATAAATTGGCCCAAAGACTCAAAGGTGTTAACATGACCCTGAAACTGTCCAACATTAAACAGTTTTCAAGAAGGTTTGGGGTTTAGTATGCACAGATCTCAGCCTGCTTAGTTCAAACACACCATTTAAAAGCTTTTAACCTTTTATTGAGGATATAAACAACAAAAAAAGGAGAAACAGTCGAAGCATTTGAAAAGTGAAATATTAAGTAAGGCTTTCTTTTTAACAATATCCCTTGTTCCCTTTCCTTTAGCTGGAGAGTTTTTAGAAGGAAACCCCTTGTTTGGTGGTTGTTTAGATAGTGTTAAAGATGGTAAAAAACTGCCCTTTTGGAGATGGGGTGGGACAGGAAGAGAAAAATTTATTTGGATGAGCTGGAGCTGTTGTTATTGCTGCTGCTGCTGTTCAAGTCTGAGCCCATATTCTCGAAGACAAAACAAGACAAACACACACAAAAGGGGAGAGAAAAAAGAACAGCAAAGATGGAAAATGCAGCTTCCATCTCTTGTGTTGACTCTGACTTGCACCTGTGATTTGCACCTCACTGCAAAACAGAATCATGCCACACAGTTTTACTGAGCACTCCAAGACCTGGCTAGCTTGTACCAGGGTCCGGCTGTTTAGGGCATAGCTTTTATCTACTTCTGTGGTCACAGGCTTAGGGCAGCGTTGCAAATTATGCAGTCTTGGCCAGCTAAGCCAGACTCTTATTTGACAGAAGGCAAAAGGATAGGGATAGGAAAGAGAAGAAATAAGATGGGGAAAGAAAAGAACATACATGAGATGGGGATGACAACAACGTGGTGGTTGGGATTTAGCCAAAACTGGTGGAGGTGACAATGTCATCTGCGTCCCGCTCTTAGGCCAGTGTGGTCAGGACGTGTGTCAGGATCAGGACAATGAAGGCCTAACAGTTTCACAGTGGATCCTGGACTCCCAGGAGACAGAAGGGTAGCAGCCTCTTGGTGAAGCTCACTCCTTCCCCCTCTTTCAGTCAGTGCCTCCAGTCCATTTTTCCCCCAAAGGTTGATTCTTTTAAAGACCCAAAATTCAATTCCCTATCTGCTATGGACTTCCTTTATGACCAAGTCATTAGCCTTTCTGTGCCTCAGTTCCCCATCTGTTAAACAGGAGTTATAATGTTTCCCTACCTCACTGGGCAGTGGTGAGAATAAATACCTTAAAATATTATGAAGCACTTTCAGCACTAAAGATGAACAGGGCAATATACGAAATAGGGACCATTAGGTGTTCCTAGCCCAATTGCGATGAGAGAGGGCTTCTCTGGAACTACACCCCTCCTCCTGAAGGGGACTCTCCCTCACCTGGTCCAGCCACTTAAGTTTCTCCCCGTTCCTCCCTGCTCCATCCAGGTGAACCTTTCTGCCACCCAGTTGCAGAGGTGTCCAAGGAAAGGGCAATATCCCCGCACCCCTTTCTCCTGGCCAGCCAGACAAGCACTCACCATATTCAGCTTCAATGAGCATGTTTATTTTCCTAGCTTTTAAAATACACGCATTTTATTAGTTGCAATGTGAAGAGTGGCCAGACGACAAGGCACAAGGTGGGGACCAGTGGGAGAGGAGATGGAGACAAAGCTTTCAAGTGAGGATGAGTGCTTTTAGCTTTACACAAAAAGAGACGTGGCACCAGAGAAGAGGTATGAATTTGCCCATCTCTGTACCATATCTCATTAATCTGTTCATACTGACCTTAGAAAAGGCATTCAAATGCACTTTATCCTAGCATTTGTACTACAGTGAATGATACAATATATACTCAGCTGACAGGATACTTGTTCTCAAAAATGTCGCGCTTGTCTGATGTCAAGATTTCAAGCCTCAAACTAGCCCCCCCTTCCTTCCCCCCAAAGTGGGTTGATAATTTGTGTAGGTGCTGAAAAGTGGTGAAGCAATGCATTGGTCCAAGAAATGCTTCCAGCCAGGAATTCGTTCCTTTTCTTGAAACAGCTAGAAGAGCTTTAAAATATTTTCTCTGTGAATAGCTGGGGGGTGGGAGGGAGAAATAGTGTCTTTTGGTGCTGACTTGAAAGGCTTCATACCTCCTCGCTGTAATGCGAGTAACTGAGGTTAGAAGCTGGGTTTGCTGAGCTTTAAATATGAACAAGGTAATTTGTTAAATATTGAAACGCAAGTTAAAATGCTGCTTCATATAGAGACCTATGACATTAATAACAGAAGGAAATGTCTTAACACCTTTTTATCTGCTGTATGCTTTGGTACTTTCAGCATAACTACCTGGCCCTGCTGTGAATGGGAAGTTTCACAGAGCTCTTCTTCAGTCTCTTTGTAACCAAAGAGTGTTAGCTGAGGGGGCAGGGGGGCTGACAGAGAGAGCAGGAGTGGGAGAGGAAAAAGGACGCTAATATCTGAAATGTATAAATGTAACTTTTACCATATGATTGACAGTGCTGTAGAGTTTACCTAGACAGGTTTTGATCTTGGGTGTGTAAATACATATGCTGAGGTAAGATATTGGTTTTGAGAGCTTTGGTTTTTTCTGTAAACACACACATGCACACAAATTCTTCTGGTTTTTTGATTTTTTATTAAACCCCCTAGGAAAATTTACGATTTATTCATGTTTATACGTACGATTTATACGAAAGGTACGTTGATGAAGATTTCAGCACTGAAAACACAAATGTGGGGAAGATACATTTCAGTCCAACAAGAAAGCTGTGGGAAATGATTTTTTTTTTAAATGTAACCCAGAGACTTAAGTTCTGCTGTCTCCCTTTTATTCTGTACCAAGAGCTCAAAATATACTATGAGATTTTTTTAAAAAAATAGGTGAGATCTATTTCTTGTATTGGTTACAGAGTTGGATGTCAGTGAACTTTGTCTTCTGCCTCTTTTAAGAACAATCTGCATACCTATTTCTTTAATTGCACAGAAATAAGCTTAATGGAAATGACCAAGTGGGACTGCAGGAGAAAAACTGATTTAATAACTTTGTGTTTCACTCATTTCAAAAGCCGGATGGCTACAATCCCATTAAGCTTGTACAGTACACATGGTTGGGCTTCCATAAAGCCATCAGAGCTGATCTTCCTAAATAGGTTAAAGGATGACATTGAGATATTTTAAGCAGAGATTATTTAATATTTTTCCTTTCAGATTTTATAGTTAGGTGATTCAAGAGCTGATTTGTTACACCACATAGCATTGGTGCATCTTTCCCCCACAGCTTTCAGAAGTCTTGCAAGCATTGAAAGCAGAATATCTCCTGGGTATAAGAGAGGTGATCTGAAGCAAATATTCTCCTTCAAGGACATTCTGTTCAATCCATTATCTCCTGCCTATGTGCAATATTGTACTCTATCAAAATACAGTGACTGAATACAACTTGTATTTCAAATAAATGAATGCATTG